TTACACATTTTAATCTACATACAGACTACCTTAAATTTTTGTCACTCAGTTCCTCTGCTGACGCACAAATATAACATTTATTTAAACAACTGTTTCGCCTTCGCGATAAGAATTACCTAGAATTTAGTCGTGTTTACATACACATACATACATATATTTATCAACAATAACCAACAGTAGTTTTCACATCCAATTCTCCAGCCAAAATAGTGCAAAATTTAATTTTTGCCATCAGTTTGCAATTTAAAGCCGCAGAATCAACGTGCAGTACGAGGACATTTAAGTAAAATTCGCAGAACATCAAAAACAAAAACAAAACTCTTAGAGCAAGAAAATGAAATTGTTTTGTTCATTTGCGTTTATTGCATTATTCGCCGTTGTTGCTGCTAATTCTACACTAAGTCATGACCTCATATTGGGTACGCGTATACCAGGCGATCAACATTTGATACGCAAAGTCGCCTTTGCTAAATCGGCTATAATGCAAAAGAAAAGGGGTGACTTTATCTACGAACAGAAGGTGTGTTAATTAAAAAGACGTGTTTTGTTGCAGAGTGTTGTGAAACTAATTTTTTTTTGTTTTTATTTCACCTTCGGCTTTATTTTAGGGTGTACCACGTACGGCTAAAATTACTTATGTGATGGTTAAGGATCAATATATAAATGGCAATGGTGGCTATGCGACCCTGACTAATGGTGGTCCTGGCTTTGATCATGTGGAGCTACATTTCACTAGCAAATGGTGGCGTGGCTATAATTTCGTTATTGACGTTTATGGCATTTAAATTAAATTTCTTTTTTAACTTTTTAACGCTTGTGCTTGGGTAAACTAAACAAACAGTTGTTAAAACAAATTTCATATTCGTGAGTGGATTCAAATGTTAATTGTTTAGTTTGTTTTCTATGCATTACGTATGTATAGGCTCGGAGTAAATTAGTTTTGAAGAAAAGTATTATTCTTGAATAAAAATACTTAGTAAGGGATGTGTTGTGTGTGTTTCTTTAAGAAAATGCATTAGAAAAGCATGAATTAGTGGAGGTGATCAAAATAGTCGCCCGTAACTAAAAAAAAAAAACGATCAAAAGAGAGTTAATTTGTTCTAAAAGTTAATATAAAATAACTGTTATTATAAATAATTGCTAAACAAGGTGACATAGCTGGCGTTTAAAAAATTTTGGCTTATCATTTGACAAAAAACTCGTTTTTACTTTCGATCGATTCATAAAATACTTTGTCATTTGTTTCTGCCTTTTGGAAAGTAAGGCCAGTTATTCATGTTTAGTTCTGCCATCTCCTTCTGAAGTTGGTCCTTCCATTGCGTTCATCACCACTTCTGACTTCGTTGTCCATATTTGAGATGTATTATATATATATTAGAGCGGGTCAATTTGTATAGGAGACTTTTTCGACTATGCGCGTATAGCACAGAAGGATTCTCAACTTAGCGATATTCCTTAGTGTCGTAAAGAATGGCTTAAATTTTGTATAAAAATTTGCACTCATATTTGTCTTAAAACTTTAGTCAGTTGTCGCAACATTGAAAATTTACACATTTTCTATGAAACCTACTTTCGCAATTTGGCAAACTCCAAAATGATTTTAGACCCATGGTTTCTTCGAAAAAATTGCTTTGAATTGCACGCCGAATACTCCTATGCTATAGGCGCATAGTAAAAAAAAACAATAATTTATAAATAAAAAGTTGACCCGTCCTAAAGTATATATATTAAAAAAATACAGAAACGTTTCTGTCGAGTACAGTTCTAAGTAGAACCGGGAATTTAGGTTGGTTTCGATTCTAAAAAAAGATAACAATAATAGGCACTATAAAAATAAGCTAAACAAAAGTATTAAAATATTTTTAAGAAACTTTAACTTTTTTATATTTTTATTATAAAGTTAACTTAAGAAAATAAATAAATATATTATGGGTATTCACGGAAACACGTAAATGCCTCGTATCCGCGTAAACCTCGATTTTCCATACAAAATCAAGTATATTTACGAGGTTTAAAGAGTTGAACAATGCAAACACTACTTTAGATGAATTGTATATCCCCATTCCTTAGTTGATATTTGTGTGACAAAAATGTTATAAAAATAAAATACATGAAATTTAATTTAGTATGCATTTTCCACGTTAAGGTTTCAATTAAAACAAAGTAATGTTGGCGCTGCTTTTTTAACTTATTCAAATCGCAGCTGACGTGGTTTTAAAAGCGTCAGAAATGAGGATGAAAATTGAATAAATTCATAATAAATAAAAAAAAATAAATTAAATTCAAAGAAACAATAAAATAAAATAAAAAAACTTTTTAAAAGCCTGGTGTATGTATTAAAAAGTTATTTATTTTCCACTTTTTAGTCTTGTCTGTAAAAAATTTTGCAATAAGTAGATATTAAAATAATTCAACTATATTCTGATACGTAAGTATTCTAATTTAGCAAATATATTTTTTTATTTATGTTGTCCATAGTGTCATGTCATCTTTGGTGCCGAATCTTTTGAAGTGTTTTTTTTTAGCTCTTTGCATTTATTTTGGAAACTAGTTTGGGTTCTCCCGCAACCCGTTTTTGGGTCTGGTTTTCCGTTCTTTTGGAATCGAGTTTCGGTTCGTCTCGAACCGTGTCTCGGGAGTTTCGGAATGTAGTTTCAGCTCCATTAGACTCGGCTCTCTGGTTCGTATTCCTTGATTTTGTGCTTTACTATAGGTTGGTTGCCTTGACAAGCAAGCCTTGGTGTTAATTTTAACGATGTCAATATCATATACGTTCGGCAGCAACACAAAAGATATTATAACCTCAAGCATTGGATTATAGTAGAAGTTGAGATGCCTGACATCTAACGGCTGAAGATATGTGCTCAACGTTATTTTCATCATTGGTTCTATATCATCATAAGTCTTAAAACGATATTAAAAATTTTCATAAATATAAAAATAAAGATAATCTAAAGAATTGAGACTGAGATTGAGATTTGCATTAAGCCTAAGATAATTTTTTTAAATTATCATAAGTAAGCTTAGCAGTTTAATGTAAAAAAGCTGAATAACAATAAAGCTCCTGAAAGGAAAAATAAAGCCAAACTTTATAAGAAAGTATTCTGCAAACTTCTTCCTCTCTGGATTTTTTTCTATAAGGTTTTACTTTTTCCTTGTGTGGGGATCACACTCAGTTTTTTATATCATGATATACTTTTCCTTATGTACCCCTCGCCTTTGAACTGATATTTTTTTATGAAGCTTTCACTATCAAAGCTTTTTACTGTACAGATTTGAAGTATTTTAATACTTCTCATGAATTTTTCAGGCGCGACTACTAGCACCAAGCGCCTAAATGTACACTATGCGCTGCTGCAAGTACATTAAAATTTGCTTTATGAAATTTATGAAGTTTTTGCATATACCCCACTCAATTCCCATATAACAAAAGACAAACTCTAGCATGAAAAAACGCTTACAATTAAACATGTTAAAAATTTGCTTGCCCAACATAAAAAGTAATTAATTTTGTTTTCTGTCAGCGTACCACAAACAAGCTCCTTCGGCCAGAGCGTCGCTGGAAATTTCAAAATATTTTGATTTATTTCAAGTAAATTTAAGGTCTTTGTTGCAAGCTAAGGTCACTTAAATCGTAATTAAGAGATTTCAATGGTTGTAGTGGCATTACAGTAAAGCGAAATAAATTATGGCGCCTATGCGCGGCATTTATCAACATTTGTACAAGCAAGCACTTGTGATTGCCAAAGAGGCAGTGAATATTGGTAAAGCAAACAGATTAATTTGCATACAAAAAATTGCAGCCAAAAATACAAACCAGGGTGGGTTTAAAGTCTACTCATATACAAAAAAAAAAATATTACATGACCGAAACCCAGACCAGAAGCGTAAATGTAATTCGCTATAATTCAGATGTGTCCACCTATGCACATTAGACCGTACCAGAAAAAAAGGTCGGCGTACACATTCAAAGTATTTTGGCAAGGCGACTTGAATACCGATTGGTCACTGACATGGTAAAACCCCCAACAAATATGACAGCTGTGGCTTTTTGAGTGTGAGGGGTGCTCTCTACCGCCTCCCTCGGCCAGAAGGACCTTGCCGTGGAGCATGTACTATCTATCCGAGAGTATATCACAAGTGATCAACAGCGCAAGAGTACCTTTCCTAGCCAATTCGTCAGCCACACAGTTCCCTGCTATGCCACTATGACCCGGATGAGCGTAATACATAAGTATTCTGACGCGACTGAGTGATAGAGCAGACATTCCTTAACCAAACTAGAGCCCACCTGCAACGCACTAAAGGCTCTGAAGACCGCTTGGCTATCAGAATAAATGCTCACCTCCCTGACTGTCATCGCATACCTGAGCAGTGACTCCACCGCCTCCTATATGGCAGCCACTTTCGCCTGAAATACACTGCAGCAGTCCGTAAGCCTGAACTTAATTCTGATGTAAACCTCTGGACGCCAGGCTCAAACCACCCTTGGGCGAAGGTAGGCTGAGAAGAAGCTGCTAGGCGCCATTTCGGTGACCATCCGTGAATAGCAACCGGGATATCCGTGCGATCAGGCATGAAATCGAAGGCCCGTAGAACTTCAGAGAGAACTATTCGCGCCGCGGCAGTTTTGCCTGCCGCTTTGACATACACTGCGTTCAGCATTACGGTAAGTGCCAGAGTGCGAGTTATCCGCAGTACCCCACTAACGCAGCTCGTTTTACGTCCTCCAGCTGCTTAACTAGTATAGCCTTTACAAGTGAGTTACACCAAACTAGGGCGCCATAAAACCTACTAAACTTGGCTACGGTCTCGTAGAGCCAATAGACAACTTTGGGTGAAATATTCCATCTCTTTCCAATAGCCACTAATCCCTTCCCTGTCCTTTTTCGATGTTTGGCCTCCACGCCAACTTCTTGTCAAGGATCAAGCCCAAGTACTTGACCTTGTCAGACAGTTGTAAGCTCTGACCTTCAACTGAGGGAACAGCGTCAGGAAATTTATATTTTCTAGTGAATAAGACCAGTTCTGCCTTACCGGAGTTGACGGCGAGGCCACTTTTGGCCATATTAAGATACTGGTTGGTCAGTTCATAAAGCGTGTCCAACATCGTTTTCTTAGACAATTACCCGACAGCTCCTCTAGTAGATCGTTCAGCAGTACGGCCCAGAGTAAGGGTGAGAGGATACCTCCCTGCGGGATGCCCCTATTCACCGTGCGATGCAAGCAAACATTGCCCTGTATGGCCATGACTGTTCTATCACGCAGCAAGTTTTGGATAAGCTGAATGACACCGACATCAACCACAAGCTTATACAACGACTTAACGATTATCTCCGGCAGGACATTATTAACCCATTCCTGCCTAATGGGTATTTAAATACCC